ATAAAGGAAGTGAGACGACCAAGACGAGTTTTTAATTTCTTTTATCAACATATAAAGGAAAGGTTTTTGTTTTTGAAAGGACATTTAAAGGAAAGTTGGATGCCTATTTCGGAAGAAAAATTCTTTAGGTACACCTGAGTGTATGGATCTACTGCCATTTTGTTGACTGAGTCATCGTGATTAACCTCCCCACCATTTAGTCGGATCGGGGTGGGGGACTCCTGGGGCGGGAGATTCCACCTTTTGGAACAACAAGGGTTACACCCGGGGTTCACCCTATATAACCCCCTCCCATTTTTTATTTCCTCTCTTCCCACTTTTTTCTCTCCCCTCCCTCCCCACTCTCTTCTCTTCCCTCCTCTCCCTTTTGCACCATACGAACCCCCCTCCCCCCTCTCCATCATCTTGTTCTTTCTTCCTTTCTTCTCTCTCTCTTCTTCTTCTTCTTCTTTCCTTCTCTCTTTTTCTTTCTTTTTACGTTTTATTCACCTTCATCATCTTCATCATCTTCTTTCTTTCTTCTTCTTCTTCATCGTGTTCTTCTTTTCCCTTCTCTCTTTTTCTTTTCCTTTTACGTTTTATTAGCTAAGTTTAGAAACGATTCCTTTGAATCATTGTTGTTCATCATCTTCTTCTTCTTCTTTAATTCTTTCTTTTTACGTTTATGCACACAACACTGGTTGGCTCTAAGTGTCTGTGTACACAGACGAAAATTGCATATGTACAGACAATTTTGTTTCTACACAGACAACTAGTGTCTGTGTACACCGATACTTGCAAACCAATTTTTTCACACCGCCACTTTTTTGTCTACACAGACAACTAATGTCTGTGTACACCGACATTGGTTTCCGTGCAACCAGCCTGGCAGATTTGAAAACTAATTTTATTCACACCGATAATTTTACCGAAAGTGTCTGTATTTGTACGTTTTTTGTCTGTGCGAATGACAAATAAATGGGGTGTAACCCAGTGTGTACATCAAGAATTGCCCATTTCGGAATGGAGGGCGTATTAAAGAAATAAACCCATGTAAAAAGTAGAGAGCTACTCTGTGTCCCTTAAAACGAATATAATTTTGTTCACTCCCTCAAAAGAGAGTGAACATCACCCTCACCCCTATTGGGCTGCCACATGTCATGGCAATGCTTTTAAATTAAGAAAAAAGAGGATAAGAAGGCACATGGCAACAAATGGGAAGGGGGTGATGTTCACCCTCCTTAAAGGTGTGAACAAAATTGCACTCCCTTAAAACACTCCCTAACATTTTTTTAGAGCCCATTTAATAGTCTTCTTTGCAATTTATCAGCCAACAAAATGTATAATTAAGGAAGAGTGCTTAACAAAGTTAAATAATACTCCCTCCGTGACTCCGTCACATTGGACTTTGCCAATTTTCTATTTTAGGTTGTTCCAAAAATCTTTGTCACTTTTTTATTAAAGCAATTAATATGTGGTTCTGCACATTTCTTTCTCCTCTGCACAAATTTTAATCACACATTTTCACTATTCTTATTTCTCACCTACTTTGTATTTGTCAAAGTTCATGGAGGTAGTAGAAAACACAGGTAGATACATCAAATTGGAATTAATTTGCCCTGTTTGGCGCTGGATTGGACCAGTTATGCGCCAATACATTGCACCGCAATGCGACGTGGTTCTTTCTAAACCTATAATAAAGATCCACCAAACATAGGTAACATAAAATAATGAAGAAAAGCACCCCAATGGACCTGTCATTAATCTTTAACAAAGGAAACCAAATAAGAATAGGTAAAATGGGCAATACCAAATCTAAAGAATCAGGTTCATCTGTGGTAGTTTGTCCTTTTTTCTTGAAGCATGAGTTTATTGTCTCTAGAGAACTAAGTTCTTTTATAATGCAGAAAAGAACCTAATTCATACAAAAATTGACTCGAAAATCTGATGCAAAAATAGTAACTTTATTCCTCTTTATCCGTGGTAAGAGCTAGAAATAATAAGAAACAGTAAGGTTGAACAAACACATAATTTTTGATTTCACGCACTGAATTGTGTAATAATAAGAAAAAGCAAGGTTGAAGTTACTTTTCTAACTGTATTGGCTGAAGTTACTGTAGAGGATCATTTTGGATATTTTTCATATAAATTTTTGTGTTTTATTAATAAAATATATTTTCAATTTTTCCCCATTAATTAGCAGAATCAGCCAATTCAACCACTTCAGTCAGAACTTCGTAAAATTCAGCAAAATCAGTCAATACAGCCGATTTGATTACACTACCAAAAGGAAAACTTTTAGGACATGAAACTTCTTTTGAAAGGAAAACACTTTTTGTAAATCAACCTTTTGAGTTGGGTTGGGCTAAAGAATAATTAGTCTTAAATATTAGATGAGTGGGCTACATATGAAAAATGAAAAAAAAAATACACTAAAAAAATTGCATACAAATTAAATTACTCTCGGCTTCAACCTACCATAGCATGTACATAGATCATCCCCTGCGTCACATGCAATGAGTTGAGTTTTGTTATCCCACTTTGGCACTTATATCTTATCCATGAGTCACATTTGCACTCCACGCCTAGACCCAACCAAATGTGTATCCCGACTAAGCCCGAGTCACATGTATGTAATCAGCCATAGTCCTGCCCTCGCATTGGATCTAGCTAGAGATGGACCGGGGCGGGTCGACCCGACCCGGGTCCGATACTATTTAGGCTAGGGATGGACTCGGACCGGGCCTGACCGGACTTTTTTTAGATTTGTTGAGACCCGGAACCGGCCCGAGTAGCTACCGGGTCCAGGTCGGGCCCGAACCGGGTCGGGCTGAGTACCCAATTTTTTTTATTTTCTAATTACTTCCTACCCCCCACCCCCCCACCTAGGGGTGGATTCAGTTCGGGCCAACCGGCCCGTGACCTGACCCGGCCCGCTACTGTGCGGGCCCAGGACCGGCCCGGTCGGGCAGTCCGGGACCGGATGTAGACCCGAACCGGCGGGGAGGGGCGGGGCGGGGCGGGTACGGTTCCTGAAAAAGTTGACCCGGCCCGGCCGGGTCGGGCCCGGGCCCGGGTCCAGGTCCAACGGTCCAATTTAAAAAAAAAATTGTTGGGCCCCAAACTAGCCGTTATGGCCTTGGGGATGGGCTGGGGACAACCCAAACGGCTATATAGCCGTTGGGTGGGGTGCAGGGGGGGTCCAGGGGGTGGGGGGGTGGGAGGTGGGTGGGGGGTAAAAAACCCTATAAATACTCCTAATCTTAAACATTTTTTCATATCTCTTCTCCAATTCTTCCTAAATCCTATTCTTAACTCTCTACTCTCTAACTCATATCTACCATTTTTAACTTTTTAAGATGGAAAGTCAAGATGCCGTTATACGGTATAATTTTGATAAGCAGAAGGACCCGAAGACCGGGATGTGGTACGCAACTTGCAAATGGTGCGGGGAAAAATGTAGCATGGGGGTTTCAGGCGGATACGGGATGACAATGAAGCATATGAAGTCATGTGACAAAGCCAAAGGATCGGGAGGTGCGGGAAGTTCCGATTGATTACAATTTACAAATTGTTTGTCTCTTGGAGTTTGTTTTAATTTTCAAATGTAGTTCCTATTTCATTTCAAATAAATGCACTTGAAGTTTGTTTTTAATACTTGTATAAAACTATAAACTATAAAATATAAATTATAAAAAAAAATCTTTAACCGGCCCGGCGGGTGGCCCGACCCATGACCCGGGCGGGTGGCCCAGCCCGAACCGGACCCGTCCAACCCTCGGGCCAGTCCCGGGCCCATGTCATACAAACCGGCGGCCCGACCGGGCCTGACCCGGCCCGAGTCCATGACTACCCCCACCCAAACTCGTCCAAAACACCCGTCCAAAAAATATCGGGCCGGACCGGTTCATTTTTTGTAGACCTGGAGCCCGCCCCAAAAAATTCCGGTTCGGGTAAAATGTACCCGGCCCGGACCCGAGCCTCGGGCTGGTTCGTAACAGTACCAAGTCGGGCCGGTTTCAGTCTGGATGACCTGGCCCAAGTCCATCCCTAGTTAGGCCAGACCCGAATTGGGATGGGTCAACCTGACTACACTATTTTTAATTGAATGCCCAATCGCGTCCCAAAACCCGACCTGACCAAGTACTGTTTGGGCCCAGCCCAACCTGGTCCCGATACCGAGCCTGAAATCCTTATGCCCAAAGTGTGCCCCATCCCGTCCCAATTAGGGGTGGACTCGGGTCCGGGCCGGGTCCGGGTCGGGCCTAGGCCCGGCCGGGCCGGCGGTTCAAGAATGGTGGACCCGGGACCGGCCCGGGTAGCCACTGGGTCCGGTCCGGGTCCGGGCCGGGCCGGGCCTCCGGTTTGGATTTTTTTTTTTTTTTTTTTTTGCTTTCCTAACCCCCCCCCCCCCTCACCCCCCACCCTCCCAAACCCCCCCAAACCCATCCTACCCATCAAGCCCAACCCGGGTGGAACCCCAAAAATGAAAAAAAAAATAAAAAAAATTCAATTTGGCCCGGGCCCGGGCCCGACCCGGCCGGGCCGGTTCACCAAAATTGAGACCCGAGCCCGGACCCGCACTACCCACCGGGCCTAGGCCCGACCCGGACCCGGACCCGAGAACCGGGCCGGTCCCGGTCCCGCACAGTAGCGGGCCGGGCCGGTCCACGGGCCGGGTGGCCCGACCCGAGTCCAAGCCTAGTCCCAATCCAGCTCGTAGCCCTACTCCCTCTTGCTCGCCGGACCCAATCCTAGGCGAGGCACCCCAACTTTCACCAGCCCAAATGTCGAGCACTAGGCAGTGCACCAAGTCGCTCACTAGCACAACTACACTCTCCCATTAGACAATTGATCTTCTGTCCGGGAATCACCAGCGACTCTATGCCTAACCTCTCCGGCTCTCCCGAGTCCCAGCATCCTCCCTCACTCGCCCTTATCTCATCCAGCTTTTGTGTCACTTCTAGTAATGCTCATTCAATGATGACACCATCAAAAGATGGCATTTTTAAACCAAAGGCACTCAAAAATGTTTAAACATGCAGGATGCCATACAATATTTGTTCATTATATTTACAATGACATCAAATTAATTTTGGTATAGCAACATACAAAATTCCTCACTTTGTCAAAATTACACAATATATGGACAAACAAATCCCTCTAAAACTAAATCTTTCAGGAATGCAATTTGCCGGCACAGGGAAAAATCTTGCATCCTATTCCAAAATTTAATCCGCAGATCATGAGAGCAGTGTCCATCAGCCTTTGGGACAAATGGCACCACTAGGCATTGCATATTGAGGTCGGGAAAAAATAGAAAATTTACAGGTCACGTGGCATTGCTAAGTGCTTTTGGGGTTTACTTGGCTTTCAGGTCAGTTGGCCTGTGAGAACGTGAGCAGCTCGTTGAATAGCCCTTGCAACTCTCCAAATCTCATGCCTAATCACACCTTCCCTTTCCATCTTATTCATCCCGGTGGATCCATAAATGGCATTGACAATTCCAGGAAAGAAATCTAGCTTTCTCTCATTAGCAATGCACGGACCATAAACCTGCAAATCACCCAGCTTAACTTTTAAAAGGATCTCAAAAACTCCTTGTAAACACGAAAATGTGATCTTCGAGTATAATATGTTATGATCACATGTTACTATGTTAAGGCTTCTGGTACCATCCAAAAAAAATTGATAAACCTAATACCTTACATCTTTGGTTTTTATTTTCATTTCAAAAAAACAAAACAATATGATCAACGTTATTTGTTAGATTATTTGGACAAAAATGCTTACAAGATGCTTGAACCATTGATTTTCTTCAAGTCCATCTGCATCTAAAAAACCCCTTTCTGCAAATATCAACCGATCATTTAACATCCGCTTCTTCAAAATAAAATGCTTGTCCACAGCTTCATTCTCTATTAGTATCTGCATCTCACGGTTGAATGGCAGAGAAAAACAATAACGCCAATTAGTTATGTTATGATTAAATAACACCTATGTTGCACGGAAACGTGAAAGTCATGAGGAAACGGGAAACGGGAAACGTCAAATCTTGCCCAAAAAAGGCTTGTTTGGAGAGTTTCCAAGAGTTTCCGTAGAGTTTCCGAAACAGAAACGTACTCCTTCCCAAGAGTTTCCGTGCTACATAGAATAACACTATTAATAAAAGAAAGAATTATACAAGGATAAGAAAAAATATTTATCTACAACCTTCGCCTCTTTCTGTATTTCTGTAGCTGCAGCTATTAGTTCCTGAATGGCATCAGTTAACGGACGCAGTGAAAAGCTCACTCCCAATGTATCATTCAAAGTATGTGTATACCCCTATAATTTACACGACAATATTAAGAATCATTACTTTGGAATCAACACAAACTGATTTAAGGGAAAAAAAATCTATACCAGCAATTGTCTTGCATAAGAGAGGTAGTTAAAAGGTAGAATTGAATTATCTGCGAGGTGAAGTCCAAGAAGTCCCCAAATTCCTGTTACTGTTGAAAGCATTTGTAGTTTCATTAATAGGGTCCTCTAAAATCATACTATCACGATAGAAAAATATATATATCTAACCTAGAATGCACTCAATATTACAATTGTAAAACTATATGAGGTGGGGGGCATCCATGATGCCAGCACTACTATGTGAAAATGACAAGAGCGCTAAACAAAAACAACATCAATTACCTGCAACATGTCGTTGAAACAATGGATCTCCAAAGTTCACCATCCAGTCATAAGAGTCAAAAACTGTGTGGTATACTGGAAACCCTGCAAGACTATGGTTAAATGACATTGAAATCCAAACAGCACCTCAGCAGATATACCTTAAAGACCATACATGCAAGTACAAATGATCATATTTCTTTATTTATTGTTCGAAGCACTAGCAAATAATACTCCCTCTATCCCATTGGACTTTGACAATTTTCCTTTTTGGGTTGTCCCAAAAACATTACCACTTCCCCTTAAAGTAACTAATTAGTGGTTCTTCTCATTTCTCTCTCCTCTGCACAAACTTTAACCGCACAATTTTTACTTTTGTTATCTCTCACCTAATTCAAAGTTGGCAAAGTCCAACGGGACAGAGGTAATATAAAAGTTAGAATTTCATCATAAAACGAACTCCAGCACTTTAATACAATTTCATCCTAGTACTTTGTGAGTCTGTGTCTTTATATTTGGTCAGTGTAGAATAATTAACATTTTATGCCTATGTGTACCTTCACCATAGTAAAAATCCATAGAAGGAATTCCAGCATGCTGCAAAAATGGAGCGAAATCTGAATCTACCCGGCCAAGTCGCTGGATCTGCATGTATTTCAGCTAAGAATACTGATGGCAGTTCTATCAAGGAAACTCACGAAACAAATATAAGAAACAACTGGAAGATAAAGAGGGAACAGAAAAACTGACATTCATGACTTGGTTGGTAATTGTCCATTTGTCAAATACTGTCATCTTTTCAGAATCAGGATCGTTAACCTTAATTGAAAAAGGACATTAGTGACAACCTAAGCACAAAGCCATGCACTGTTAACGAATAAAGAGTAATTAAAGACATCAAATGAGGCATACCTTCTTAGCAATCTCAAGAAGAAGATTATCAAGTTGAGGAGTTGCACTTGCATAAAATCCAGGTCCTTGAACTGCACAATCAACATTCAGATAGGCTACAGATTTAGTTGCGAGATTGACAAGGTTCTCTTCAACCCATTCAGCGGAGCCAATCTGGAGTCGCCATAAGAATATCATACACATTAAAGACTAAAACATAATACATTGCCACAATAGGACCATCTTTTTTCTAAAAATATCACTTATTCACTTCTCATTTCTCAAAGAAGCATTAACTACTTTAATCTTTTTTCGAGGACTGGATGAGTCTATTTTCAGGATAAAACAAGGATACTGCTGTTTCGGTGTGTATAATTGTATATGACTCATTTTTACTCCTATTTTTCTGTAATTCTCAAATCACAAAGCCAGACACACCACAAGTAGATATACTAAAACTTGGGATTTTATAATAGACGGACAATCTAATAGAACAAGTCTCTTAAGACCTTATATGTTAGTTTGTATTTTATACTTGGTCATGACAGAATGACTTAATATAAGATTGCACATACCATGCCAAACTCTTCAGCATCCCAACTGCAAAGAATGATAGTCCGACGAGGATTCCATCCTGACCGCATGAGAAGAGCATATCGGCGAGCGATCTCAAGTAGAGCCGCAGTGCCACTGCTGGGGTCCACAGCTCCGTAAGTCCAGGCATCTCTGTGGTTCCCAAGAAGTACAAACCGGTCCGGCTCTTCATATCCTCTTATCACAGCAAATACGTTATGTATTACACCTATTCTTTTCTCCCCCTACACAACATAAATAAAAAGTTCCTCGGCTTAGAATGTAAATTCCATAGGTTGTCACAGAAATTCTTAATAGATAGAATAATAGTGAGTAAAATTGTTAAAATTGTCAGAGCTTAATTCAGTCATCATTATCATCATCATCATTACCTCAGTGCCACAAAGGCTCCCACCTACGATAGGGTAAGGGGGGTCAGATGTACGCAGTCTTACCCATGTACTATAGCACAGGGAGACTACTATAGCACAGAGAGACTGTTTCAGGATGACCCATAGTGAAAATCGTGTTCAAAATTGCATAGATTGACCGCTCCTTCATAACAAAGAAGCACAGAGAGTTTAGTGAGCCATTTTGATTTATTCCATCATATTCTCAAGCCAAAAAATGGTGAATATTTGGCTCCATTGCAAATGATGGAAAATCACAAGTTAGGTCACTAGAGGTAATAATCACTTCCAAGAGTTACGCACTGTTATTCCTATCCAAGTATCCAACCAATCTAGCCATGTTCTGGTTTTGTGAGACATTCTCTAAATTATAACTAGGATAGGTGCCGTCATCATTCGCAACACCTTAGTCTCAACCTTGTTATAGCAGGTGAGATGAAAGTTGTCATTTATTTTGTCTATAAATTAGCTAACATGACAAACTCATGCAACAAATAGCATTGTGATGAATTTATAAACGGGTTGTCCATTCTTAAATGCTTGTTTGATTCGAGGATTTCAGAGGGGGGAATGAGTGGTAAATTTTTTAAATTTACAAGAACAAGAATGAAAATAAAGTGGAGATAACAAAACTAAAAAGAAATACATGAACTAACTAATCAAATAGTTATTCATAGTCAAGGACTAACTTTTAATCATAAGGAATTACCCTAAATAGGTGTAAAACGTTTGTGCATTCCCAAATAGCCCAACTATGTTTTTATTCCCTAAACAAGAATAAATACTATCATGTTTTGGCACTATCAAGCTTGAAACATGTCACTATTTTCCAAACATAGTCGTAATAATTCCTATTTACGAAATAAATAAATAGTACTTTTTTGGAATTCAAAAACGTTTGCACTCCTACATTGGGAAATTTTCCCATAATCATTCCCTTCTCTCAGAAATCCCTAAACTAAAAAACCCTAAAGGAACTTCCTGATTAGTATGGGAACTAGAAAGAAATGATTAACAACTTTTTTACTATTTCTATAAACTACTATGACCACATCACCTGTCTATTCTGAAATCAGTATTTTTACTTTCTTGAACAAATCCCAACATCATTAACATGTACAAAACCATTTATACAGCAATCTCCTAACCTAAAAACAAAGACTAAAATAAAGCAAAAACCAGAAAACAAAAAAAGAACAAATACAGAGACAGATGAAAGAAAGTTTGGCTGCTAAAAATAGCCAGCAAGGTCTAACCTCGTACGAGAATTTCAGCATTGTTGGGCCGGGCCCAACAGCCCCAATGTCAATCCCAGTACTGCTTTTTAGATCCTTCTTCCATTCTTGAGGAACCTGGTGGGAACCCTTCAACGACCTCAATATCATCTTTGCAGCATCTATGGATATTGGCATGGACGGCACTTTCGGGAATTTCTCAGTCACCCGCGGGTCGTCCAGTCGGAGTCTCTCTCCGGGAAAAAGCCCGGCCCACCCAGGGCTCAGTGGGTCCCCCAAGCCACCCATCACTGTCCCTCTCTCTACCCCTTCCGTAGACTTGCCGTCAGAGTACATGAGCACCGCCGCCACTCCATGCACCGCCGCCCTCTCAACCGCATCGTTCCTCGATAACCCGCCGCCTCTCCTTACAATCCCGACGCAACCCTTCACCTCCACCCCTTGCTCCGCCAGCGCCCGGAAGTCTTCCTCTCTCCCGTGGTTCAAGAATACGGCGCTTCCGTAGGCGGAGCCCGACGGGGAATAAGCGTGGTACGGTATTACGACGCCGTTTTGGGGGACCCCGGGCTCGGATAAAGGGACGGGGACGGCGGTGCCATTGATGAAATGCGCCGTCAGCGAGGAGGACAGGGGGTAAGAGAGAAGGACGGTGTAGTTGGTGAGGTGGGTTGCGAGGTTCAGGGACTCGAACTGGGACTTGACGTAAACCGCCGTGCGGAGGGACGACGGCGTGCCGGCGAGGTGCGGCTGGAGGGTGAGGTGACGGAGGTGGGAAGCGATGGTGTTGTTGGAAGCAGAGGAGAGAAAAACGTCTTCATAGAAAGCGGTGCTTCGCTTTGATACGGCGGAGATTATCCGTCGTTGGCTGTGGAGGGTGGTGAAGAAGGCGAGAGTGAAGAGGACGACAAGGAGGGTGCAGGCAGTTTTCGATTGAAATGGCATTTCGGAGAAAGAAAAGAAGAGAGCAGAAAACGTCGCTTCCCGATGGAGATGCAGTGGCGGCCGAATGAATGGTCGGGCAGCAAAAGCTTCTCAAATCTTAGGCTGAAGTGAGTGACGTCTCATGTATGAATAGTTTAAAAAAAAGTGGTGAAAATGACAACTCCACATACTTACATACTTGTGTGTTATTACTAACTTGAAATAAGGTTGGACTTCTGATGCGCACCGTGACTGAGTCACCGTCGCTTTGCTGACTGAGTCACCGTGATTAACCTCTTCACCATCCTGTCGGGGTGGACGGCTTTGGGGTTGGGCATTCAACCTTTAGGACCAAGTGTTATTACTAACTTTCTCACGTTCAAAATAAGAAATGTGTGGTTGAAATTTTTATGAGAAGAGAGAATTAAGTAGATCAATAAATTATTTTCTTTAATTAGAAAGTTGCCAATTTTTTTGGGACAACTAAACGGAGGGAGTATTTTTTAAAGGATCGACGCCTAAGCATCTGCAGGAGAGTTACCTTGGGCGAGAAGATGTAAATTATACTTTGGTCGGGATACTCGCAAAAGTCATATGCATTTTTACATAGTAACCTCTTACCGCAGACTCACAGTTGTCAGGATTTGAACTCAACCTGATATTTACTCCTTGTAGCATCACCTAATAAAAGACACTTAGGACATGTTTACTTCACAAGTTACTAAGCGGTTCTTTTTAAAACTTGCGTTAATAAGCGACGATAAAATAAGCAATCTTATATGCTCATGTTTATTTCACATGATTTAAAACATGAACATTAATATGTCCAAAATAACGGTATGCATATGTAGACACATAAACATTGATGTATAGACAAGTATATATAATACGTGGTGGCCCACCCCTACCCCTACCCCGTACACGTATACACCCCACCTCCTACCCATGGGGTAGGGTTTGGGGGTAGTGGAGTGAATGTAGGGTCGGGTAGGGTTTAGGGTAGGGTACGGGTACAAGGACGGGTATGGGTAGGGTCCGGGAGTTAGGGGTAGGGGTACTGGGCATGTAGGGGCGAGGTTGGTGGTAGGGATTGGGAGTGGAAGGGTTGGGGTTGGGATAGAGGTAACTCCGAAGGTGTTAGAGAAAGAACTAAAGACAAGGGTAAATGCGGAAACTGAAAAAACTTAAAGTGTCGCTTAAGTAATACGTGAGGTGGTATGCTTAGTATGTGGCACTTTAAACACATGTTTGGGTTAGTAGGCAAAATTTTAAGCACTCTGTGTGTTTACTTCAGCTGTCTTACTAATTTAACTGTGTTTTTAACAACAAAATATCAATATCAAAAGATATTGATATTTTAAATAAAGACTCTAAATCCAATCACAAACTCTACGATTAGACATAAAGTCATTCACCTACAAAAAGTAAATTGACTCACAAATCACGGATCAGGAGTCAAACACCTTGTAGTTCGATGACACCACCGTGACACACCCAAAGAGGAGGTCACAAGTTCGAAACTCAACCCAATCAAGGATATTGGCATTTAACGGTACAAATACTCTGAGAAAAAGAGAAAGTACACCAAAAACACGTATCATGAAACAATAAACCTATAGTAACCCAATTTTTGTTTCTATCCTCCACCTCACCTAACCTCTCACATAGTCCCATAAATATAAGAAAAACTAAAAGGAAAATCACGCGGAAACAAAAACTAAGACTTCAAGCTTCTCACTCCAACCCCGTTTTTTGAATAGAACATCTCCAAATCCATCATTGTTTGACCATCATATAGCTTCTCTTCCTCCATATGGCTACGACTATTAACAAATTGAGCGTTTTCGAATTATTTGAGCTCAAGCTCAATTTCGAATATAATGAGTCGAGCTTAATGAGATTCATGCTCAAACACGAGCTGAGTTTTAAGTTGGAATACTTATTCGAGTCAAGCTCGACCATAGTAGTATTTAGTCCGGTTTGAATTTGATATCATTGAACGCCCTAAGGTTATACGACAAGTTTGGTATATCTTAAATTTTTAATGTATTTAGTTTGATTTATAAATTTACTATGTATATCATTTTGAATGAGTCGAGCACTTTTCAAATAATTTGAGCACAAGCCTATCATCTAGCATAAGTTGCACTTCTAATTTCGACCAAAATATCAAGTCTATTGAGCGCTCGGTTCGGACATCGAACATTTACTGAGCCGAACTTGAGCCCTATTTGTAAATTAAAGCTTGTAGAGCTTCAAGGTCGAACCCAAACATGACTATTACCGAATCGAGCTTTGGGTATTTGGGGCTCGGTTCAGCTAGTTAGCAGTCATACTCACGGCGACGCTTCTGATCCACCACCAGCACCGCTTGCTTCTGCTTTCTAGCATCTTTGTGCCTTCCCTCATAGACTTGTGTTCCATAAATCAAGTTCTGTGTGTCCAGGCTCAGTTTGGCTCGACTCATTACCAGCTTGCACATGGCGGCGCTTCTGATCCACCACCTGCGCACTTGCTTCTGTTTTCCCGCATCTCTGTGCCTTCCCTCATAGTCTTATGTTTGAGGGGGTGCTTCTGATCCACCACCAACGCCCTTGCTTACGTTTTCCCACATATGTTTGAGAAAGTAATCACCCCTAATGATTTACCTCTTATATTCCCACTGAACCTTTCTCCACTCTGTGTTACTTATTTATAGCAAAGTCATAGAAATTGAGTTATTTATCTAAGGTATACTCGCCTTTGTTCACCCCTCCTTTTATGATGTTCACCCCTACCTCCCTACCTGTTATGTATTTTGGAGTGAAGATGAGGCGAGTCTAGCTTTAACTTGAGCATGCTTGATCTTGAGTTTGATAAGAATAAATTGGTTCAAGCTCGAAGCTGGTCCCAATAATTTTGGCTCGATCTCAACTCAGGCTCGATTCCAGCTTGACTCAAGTTTTGCTAATTAATTTTTATGGGTTTCGGCTCAAATAAAATGTTCTTGATAGAGTATATGTACTCGGACCTCCAAGTTCATGACTACTGGGCGTGAACAACAGCCCATATATGCTCAGTAGATAGCATTTACATCATTGTACACTCTATTTATTTATACGTACCCATTAGAATAGATTAAATACCATTTATTAGCCATCTATTGGCCTTTTATTGTAACTGGGCCTGCCATGCCCAAGCCCGGAAGCTCAGCTCACTTCTCTCCTATAAATAGTCCCTATGGGAGCCATTTAAAGGGTTGGAAAATCATTTATACATATCACTTTAGGGAGAACTATCAAATAAGTCCTCGAACTTTCATAAAAAGTGCAAATAAGCCCTTTTATAGGAGGCTCTGTCCGGCTGTCGCCATTTGGGGTGGTTTCCGGTGAATTTTTTTGATGAAATGTTTTGATTATCTTATTCCTTAAGTATAGTTTATTCATACCAAATTTAAGATAAAACTTCAATCGGGAAGGCAGTTAAATAAATTTTTGAAGATAACTGCGCAGTTAGACAGCGCAATATATTTCAGAAAATCATTTGACTGCCTTCTCAATTTCATTTTAGGCTGAAATTTGGTATGGGTAAACTAGACTTAATGAAGAAGATTCTCAAAAAAAATCATCAAAAAATTACACCAAAAACCGCCCCAAATGGCGACAGCCGGACAAAGTCCCCTATAAAAGTACTTATTCGCACTTTTTATGAAAATTCGAGGGCTTATTTGATAGTTCTCCTATCACTTTATCTCTCTAGATTAATAATCTATCAGTTCTAATTCGAGCTAAAGCTAAAATTTATGTTTTAAAAATTATTAATATTACATTTACACATACAAATAAATTACTTCCTTTTTCCTTCATTGGCATTTTTACTCCTTTTTTTACAATCAAGTAATTTTTTAAAAATATAAATCAATAAAAATATGTAAATAATAAAATATAATACGTGTGTGTGTGTATATATATATATAAAGATAATTTTAAATAATATTGCAGATAAATGAACATGTTCAGCCATTTGAGACATATTGTTAACACGTTCAGCTAATTTGGCCACTTCAACCATTCTAGGTCTCACCAAATGGGATCTAAGACATCTCACTAATTGCATATATCAACTTTGAAGAAGCACAACTTACCACACTTGTTAGTAATGCGCAGACTCAAGGAAATGGAACTTTCATCATTTTTGCCCCCTCTTAGCCGAAACTCATTTTTCCCATTGCGTCTTAGAAACTTGGAAGCTTGAGGAATTTCAGTCATACTTTCTACACAAGCAACATTGGATAACTTTCTATAGGTGGGGACTATTTCCATTGAGAGAGTATGAGACTTCAGCATTACATTTATGTTCTACATGATGTTAGGCAGGAGTTTCTTTGAACTAGTAGTAGCGCGTGAAAGAAATGGATGTTTCCAGAGCTGTGAAGCGCTTAAGCGTTCAAATGCTGGTACAAAGCACTTCTCTATGAACTGCCTTACTTCAGGATCCACAATTTTATCCAAAGTAGCGGGTTTTATACTCGAAGTAACCTTTTTATAGATTTGTGCCTGATTTCTGCACTCACTGTAGGGATATTCAAGTGTTATGAGCTCTAACAACCACATACCTAATGAATAAATGTCAACGAGTTCATTGTACTCTTCATCATAAAGCTCAGGTGTCATGAACTCAGGAGTTCCAATAACATTTATTGCAGTAGGCTAATGCATTATTGTAGCCAATCCTAGATCTCCTATTTTAACTTCACCATGATTCCCATCGATGAATATGTTATTACACTTGAGGTCTCTATGAATAAATAATGATAGATGGTTTGTGACTGTGGAGATAATTTAAGCCTTTAAAAATTTGTGTAGCCCAATTCTTGATGGCCTCTATGTTAGCAACCTTATGTTTCTTTCGATATTACCTCAAGCTTCCAGAAGTGAATAACTCTATGATAATATTAATAGTTTTGCTCTGATCATCAACCTAGGAGTCAAGTGACTTTATGATGTTCTCATGTTTCAATTTCCTCAACAGGTGAACCTCAGAATAATATAACCTTTTCATATTTGCACAAGACTACATCGCCTCATCAATACTGACTTGGTTCCAAGAAACCTCAATTCCTTCCATTTCGTCAAACACTTTGATGGTCCCGTATAGAGGTAAAAGTC